ATATAAGTTGTGGCTAATTCGCGAGATAAATCTATTAAGTCTAATTAAGCATTGATTAACACATGTTTATTGTAGCATCACATGAGCTAATTATGGATTAATTAGGTTTAATGAATTTGTATCGTGAATTAGTCTCTATTTATAAAATTAGTTTTGCGATTAGCCTATGTTTAATACTCCTAATATATATCTATATCTATAACTAATAATAAAGAGGCAAAATTTTCGGTCATTTTTTTCATCCATCCATTTTTTTCTTCCACCTCTCCCTAACTACCAGTAGTCAAGAGTTTCTTCCGTCTAGACTTATATGACCCTAGATAGTTAGATAGTTAGGACAAATAGATCTCTTTGAGCCTGAATAAACTGAATAAGAATAGAAATTCTAATTCAAATAGAAAATAAATTAGACAAAACCTTATTTTATTTTTTATATAGCAAAGCGTCTTTTTAACCCGTTTTTTACTTCCCATAATGGCCCCGTTCGCTGGTCTGAACTTTGGCTGAAACTGGCTAAAAACACTATTCCGGCTGAATTGTTGTGAGAGAAAAATACTGTTCCGGCTGAAAAAACAAGCCGAACAAGCCAAATTTAAGACAAGCGAACGGAATAAATGTAGCGTTTGGATGCGGCTAGGGATAGGAAAAGGGAAATAGAGGAGGATACAAATGAGTGGGTTATGGATTTGCAGCCTGATCGCTGGGACTGGCTGGGCTGGCCAGCCCCCTCACATGAGTACTGTTCACCTGAACCAGCCAGCAGTACTTCTATCTCACATAAACGAACCAGCAACGATACGAACTAGCCAACCGAACAGGCTGATGAAAATATGAATTAAGCGCCAATCAAACGTATGGATGCAGTTTGGTGTGGGTTTGGGTTGTGGTGGGCCCACAAGCTTTTTAAAAGGAAAAAATAGCACCCGTTGTCCACGTGGCTTCGGTTGGCTGGTTCGTTTCGTTGCTGATTCGTGAAGAAGTACTGCTGGCTGATTTGTGTAAGAGAAAAATATTGTTCCGGCTAAAAATTTACGATCGTTTACGACAAGCCATAGCCAAACGAACAGGCTGACCTTATCTCCATCCTATCCACACACACGCACACGCAGCGGAGCGGCGAGCAGCGAGCAGCGGCCCCTGACGGCTGGCCAGTAGCAGCACGGGAACAGGCACCTGGTGGCCGGCGTCGAGCAGAGTGGCTACACGAGCGACGAGCAGCCGCGTCCCTTTTTGCAGCAAGCTCAAGCTGACGGGGAACCTCGACACAGCCTACAGCTTCGCCTCTTCTTCCACAACGCGGACAAGAAGCAGGCTGCGACGACCGCGGGGAAGGGGACCAGGCCAGCCGCTACCAGGGGAGTGAATCCGGAGGCAGTCCGGCGGTGTTCGGCTGGGATTAAAAATATTGTTCGTGCTGGAAAATACTATTTATACTGGAATGTTGTGAAAGAAAAATACTGCTCTAGCCGAAAAAAAGACAGCCGAACACTGCCCCCTCCCTACTCGCCAACATGTTCTCGTGATTCTCGGCGATGGTGGTGGCGCAGCTCGCGCAGATGGCAGCTGAAGAGCAGGGCACGGCGCTACGAGAGATGATGGCCGCCGAAGTTTATGCCCGGGAAAGAGACCGGTCTACCACCACGATGCATTGGCGTCGGAGCCCGGCAAGAAACCGAGTCCTCTTCCAGGTGCATTAACTTACAATCAATCAATAATAAGCAAAACGATCCAAATCACGTCACAAAATCACATCACAGTTTGATAGGACTTGTGACATGTTCGGCCTCAAAAGGAAAAGGAGAATTTGTTAAGTCCACCTCAAAAAGGAAAAAGTCTAGATCACCCCTCACCTATAACAAGGAGTCTACTTCACCCCCCAAACTATGAAACCGTCTATTTTACCCCTTGAACTTTCCAAAACCGTCTATTTTACCCCCTGGGCGGTTTTCAGCGGCGGTTTTGCTACAGTAACAGCTGGTTTACTACAGTAACAACGGGTTGCTACAGTGCCGGCGGGTTTGAATTTCCTTTATTTATTTATTTTCGGTGCATTTTTTAAAAATCATAGTAAATCATAGAAAAATCATAAAATGAAAAATCTAATTTTATTGGACTCCACATGAGTAGATCTACACAGTGAATATATAATACGGTATGCTTTAGTACAAATTTTTTTTGTAGCTTTAGATTAATTGAAAAATCCAATTTTGTCTGTAATTAATTAGAATTTATCTATAACTAAGTTATACATAGTCCAATGAGTACGAAATTTTTACTATAGTTCAAGCATACAATAATTAGCGTACCATAAAAATTTCACCACAATTGGACCATAGAAGTTGCAGCTATGTATTATTCCAATTAATTACAGACAAAATTAGATTTTCCAATTAATCTAAGGCTACAGTAAAAATTTTGTACTAAAGCATACCGTATTATATATTCACTGTGTAGATCTACTCATGTGGAGTCCAATAAAATTAGATTTTTCATTTTATGATTTTTCTATGATTTTTAAAAAATACACCGAAAATAAATAAAAAAAGGAAATTCAAACCCGCCGGCACTGTAGCAACCCGTTGTTACTGTAGTAAACCAGCTGTTACTGTAGCAAAACCGCCGCTGAAAACCGCCCAGAGGATAAAATAGACGGTTTTGGAAAGTTCAGAGGTAAAATAGACGGTTTCATAGTTTGGGGGTGAAGTAGACTCCTTGTTATAGGTGAGGGGGTGATCTAGACTTTTTCCAAAAGGAAAAGGAGAAACGAGCAAACTGTGACATGTTCGGTTTATCTTAAAGTAAATTATTTGGGCTCTGTTTGACGTAAAGTATTTTTAAAGTATTAGGAAAATACTATGGTTTACAAAATAATTTAGTTTTTAAAAACTATGGGGTGTTTGGATGTAACAAATTTTGTAGCATCTAAGACTATGATTTTGTCACAACTGTAGTATTTTTGAAGTTTTAAAAACTCCACTCATGACCTCTTTTTTCTAAACCACGATTTTATGTCTCTTTGGCTTATAAAACCACAGATTTGTGATATTACAGTTTTCAAAAACTGCATTATCCAAACAGGCCCTTGAGTTGCTGCTGGCAGGTTGAGATATAAAAATACTGTAGGTACAGTGCTTTTCAGCAGCTGCACCCCTGGCAAGAAGTCATCGATGCGCTAGCATTGAACGTCCTGAGCTCACAGTAGCCGCCGCAAGCGCTGCCCCAACCATGCATATCTTCTTCAACGAAAACAACGATCAAATTGAAGGCTTGTCCGGACTAAATATGCTCTTTTTTTCCACGCGTCACTGTTTGAACTGGTTCGTCCGTTCTTTTTCCAAGCTTTATAAGCAATCCACTTCAATCGTCAATTTTCATCTTTCTGTTCTAATTTAGTCATTCCCCATAAATATCAATAATAATATAATAATATTATACGTCTTTAAGTCCTTGACCTCTTCTTTAAGAAATATATATTATCATCACCAAAATATTGGTACAGTTCTAATTAGAAATAAAACGTATCTTATCGTTATAACCTTGCTCAGCCGATATGGTTCAACCAATCAAACTGTGGACTGAAATCTAAAGTTAATTGTTTAGTTTAGTCTAACAAATACCTTTTCAAGCATAATTCTAGACGAAATTTTATACAAAGAGTAAAATATAATGAGATATGTATTATTTGGGTCCTTGTTTTTTTAAATATTTTGTACTTTTTTTCTTCCCGTTGCAACGCAAGCACATATTTGTAATCAAATATCCAAGACGGTGGTTACTAACACGTGTACAGGATGTGCAGCAAACAATGGATTTGGGTCGAGGCGGAGGTGGCAGGCTCCGCTGCCTGCTCGTCGATGTCAGTGGCAGGATCCAAGGCGAGATTGGCGCGTTCCCGTATCAGAGGCCGGGACCTGGTTGCTGGTAAAGATGGCAACGGGACCGCAACCCGATATCCGACGGGTATTTACTTCATTAGGGTCTAAATATAGACTAAACACACTACCCACGGGTACATAAATGGATCAAATCCTTCACCTATCGGGTACGCGGGTATGGGTATGTTCCAGCAATCCCCGTACCCGTTTACCCATGAGTGAAAAATACCTAGCCTAAAACTAAATAAGCCCACCAGCCCATGTAAAACCCTAGGTTCACCCACCGGTCCCGCCTGGCGACTTGGCCGCCGGAGCCCTCGACCGCTCGAGGGAGGCTCGACGCCTGGCCTCCCGCCGCCGAAAAAAATAGGCGCGTGAGTAAAGCGCGTCGTTACCTCGTCTCGGCGCTGGCAGCCTGGCACTGCAATCACCACTCGCAAAAAAAAAACGCCGCCGTCGCCGAAAATAAAACTACGCCGCCAGCCCGCCCCTCGTGACCTCGTCTCGGCGTCTCGCGATATTCGCATCGCATCGAAGCGTCAGGAACTCGCCACGCCATGCTGGCGACGGAGCAACTCGAGCAAGAACGGTGATATGCTATTATTTGTCTAATTTTATTTGCTCTGATTAGTGGTGGTTGCTGTTGAATTATTGATTTTCATGTGCGTGAATAAATTATTGGCGGGTACGGGTGACCCGCCGGATATGATTTACCCAGCTGGGTATGGGTTTGGGGAAAATTCCCCACCCATGACGGGTATGACTATTTTGACGGTACCAAATTTTTATGACGGGGATGGGTCTGGGGTGGCCATACCCGATGGGGATTTACCCATTGCCATCCTTAGTTGCTGGCATCCGTTGGCGGCCGCGCTCGCCTGCTTGCCGTTCCTCACTGCGCCTGTGCTCGTGCTCGCCACGCCGGCCACCGTCGCCGCTTACCCCAAACCAAAAACCAATGGTTATCGGATCGCTTCTCCTTGCATAAAGTAAAGCCCGTCCGCAAGCAACTGGTGCGGTGTGTCTGATTGGGTAGGATCCGACCCGACCCGCTCGCTCCTTAAACCCTAGCTTGTCGCCGCTTTGCTTTCTCCTCAACTCCAACTCCCACTCCCCCCCACACCAATGGACTCGCCGCCGCCGCCGCCGATTCGCCGGGAGGCGTGGGAGGGCTGCAGCGTCCTCCTCGATATCAATGACGGCGACCGCCTGGCCTTCTTCCGCCTCACTCCCGGAGCGTCAGTCCTACCCTCCCTCTCTCCCCACACCTCCCTGACTTCGCTACTCCCTCCCCCCTCGAACCAACCCTTTGTGTGCGCGCAGGACGGTGAAGATTGGGAACAAGACCTGCTCGCTGCAGCCGCTCGTGGGGCGCCCCTTTGGCTCCCTCTTCCGCCTCGGCGCCGACGGACTCGTCCCCTGCGCCGCCGCGGACGCCACATCTCGTGGTAAGGATAGATTCTGACTCGAAGCCTCTGTCGAGCTGAATTGCCAGCTCGAGTTAACCTTTTTATTAAAGCTCAACAAGCTCTAATCTTTTACTACTTGTAAAGCTCAAGCTTTTTCTATTTTCATTCAGTGTGATAGTTAGTCAGCTATTGGGCCTCATCTATATCCAAGTTCTGTACAGTTGCTGTTCCATTGTGCCATATGTACAATGTGCCTAATTAATGAAAGCCTAATTTTTTGAACTAGTTTAGTGGGGGCGAAGCCAGGCATGAAAATCACCCGGGTCAGCTCCATTGATCATCACATAAAATGTACTAGCAAACAGTGAATCTATATATTTGCCAAAATTTGTAGGGGTCGGCTGACCCCAGTAAATACACGTAGTTTCGTCCCTGTTTCCTACAAACAGATCATTTTGTCTTCTTTTTAACAAAGATAAGCGTCATGCTGCAATGATTCCTACAATCGTGGTTAACTAATGCCTCTCTCTCTCTCTCTCTCTCTCTCTTTCTCTCTCTCGTGGTGTACTCATCATTATGCACACTATCTAAATTTTGTAACAATGACCCATTTATCTAGATCATAACACGCGAGATGGTGCCGATGGCCAAACGCAGGATGAAACCAGAGACAATAGGTCTCTGGTTGATAATAATACGGCTCAAAATTTATCTAGCGATGACATAGAGGCAATGAAGAGGTGAGATTCTGATCATATTTGGTTTTTATTGAATATAAGCTATGCTTTGTTCTCTTTTCCCTGTGATTTATGTGCAAATTTGTATGCGATTTGATTTTATAAAACAGGGATGGTGCAACTGGTGATGAGATTGTGGAAGCTTTAATAGCAAATAGCTCAACATTTGGAAAGAAAACTGTCTTCTCACAGGTTAGTACAATAATTTCTTAACTTTATTTTCTTTGGTCTCCTGAAGTTCCAAAAGTGTTGGTGATTGATTTAGTTAAATCATTTTGGTTGCAGGAGAAGTACAAGTTAAAGAAACAAAAGAAATATGCACCTAAAGTTCTTTTGCGACGCCCTTCTGCTCGGAGGTACCTTTCTAGTAGTCTTTGTACAGTCTGCAAATATGTCAAGTTGTTTTTGAGATGTGTGGTTTACGTTGCTGTACTTTTGACATGTGTTCATGTACGCAACCAGATATTAATGTGCTTTCACTGTATTTATTTTCCTGATGCTTTCTCTACAAGAGATAAAGTAACATGGTGATTTTTGTACGACTATTAATACATTCAATTATATTTAAAAAAGTGTCATGCAACATGTTTAGAGAGTGGGTACAGAGTACAGACCAGACTGGGAGATGAAGAATGCAAATGAAACTACTTATACTTTCTAGCCTTTGACATGTGAAGTCAGCATGTCCAACACTATTGTTTCAATATTTATTGTGTTCCCGCTTTACTGAAATGAATGATATCGTGTTCTTTGGAGAATAAAATATATTTTGTGGCAGGTAATAGTTACAATGCCAATTAGCTCGTTGGCAAGAGTGAAGGAGGAACATTTCTAATAGAAATACCAATTTTCCATATTTTTGTTATGAAGCCTTGCCCTTGCACTACCAAGTGTTACCTATTAGATTAGATTTGGCTTGATTTATCTAAATTTTTGCGTTTATTTTGTAATATTCTACTATAACTCATATTTGGCATAGCACATGCTCTTGAAAATGTGATTGCTGGATCTTTGTCAATTTTAAATTCATTTTTTGATCATATGGATAATTTGTGATCATTTTCATGTGCAGCATTTGTGAGACATACTTCAAGAAAAGTCCAGCTCGTATAGGGTAATTATTTTCTTCATTGACAAGTGGCATCTGTTGTTTTGTTTCAGTCCTCATATATAATTTCTTCTTTTTTTGCTTAACGTGTACTAGTCTCATTCACTTCATGCTGTTCTTTCTGTGGTTATTAGGTTTATGCGAGTTGACACACTATCTCTCTTGTTGTCTATGGCAAACATTGGTGCGTATTCAGATGTGCTTGTTGTTGATATGGTTGGAGGTTTAGTTGTTGGAGCTGTTGCTGAACGCTTAGGAGGTAAAATATGTTTCTCTTTTACTTTACTACTAGTTCAATAAGATTAAACTTAATGGATGTTATTGAATTAAATACAGTTAAGCTCTATTGGCTACATTCAGATGCTAAACGTTCCACTTAATACCTTGTTATGATCGGCTAGAAGCCACCAGGATTTTTGGTGAAGTTTGCTTTATGACAGTTTGATCTATGCTGTCGGTATGAGGAATAAGTAAGCCAATAAATAAAATTTCTATGCATGTGAACACTAAAATGTGCAAGTTGCACTACTTGTTGCCACAAAGTGCAAGCTATTTTCATTAAATATGTAAGTCCTAAGTGCCTGGTGACTGCCATTGTGCCTAAGTGCCAACATCCAGTATTCACCATTTTGTTTAAATATATATTAGATTAGAACTGCTTTTTGGTGTTCTCTGGGTATAGACATTATAATGCATTGGTTATGTAAATCCTAATGTGATTATGAATATTTTATGTTGTTCATTACATTAACAGGTACAGGTTATGTTTGCAGCACATATCTTGGTTCAGCACCCTGCTCCATTGACATTATAAGAATGTACAATTTGAGCAGTGATATGGTCAGCAGGTAATTTTCTTTTGGCACTAGGTTGCTTTTAATTAGATGATGTCTGGAATAACAATGTTATGGAAAGTGACCTTCTAATCAAGTTAGTAGCACATTTGCCATCCAGAAATGAAGCATGAGTTATTCGGAGCACATGAACTGTAAAATTGTAATTGGACTTTTCACCATTAGTCTATCAGCAGATTTCAAGCACGAATTATTCTCCAGTTGTGACCTTGTTGGATTGTACAAATTCATGAATACAGCCGTTCAAACTGGATTTTCTAATTGTTTACCATCCAATTTAATATAACCATTCACTTCTTTTGGACTATTGGTCCATACTGTCATATACTAGATTCTTATTTCAAGCTTGAGATATATGAATGAAGTAGTTCAAGTTATAGAAGTGGTCAGCATCCATGATTTAGTTGAAGTTATACTGTGTCTGAAAATGTTGTGATAAACTTTCCATTCAGGATTGTTCAGGTGCCACTTAGTGACCTATGTTCAATGCATAGTTCTGGGAACACCCCTTCTCTTCTCAATGGTGGCGCTGAAGGGGAAATGGTAGAGCCTGCTGTAGTACCAGATGAGGATGCCCAGGCGTCTTTGGCACAGCAAGTTGACACAGCAGTGTCAGATGAGAAGGCACAGTTATCAACAGATCAGCCAACTGATATGGAGGTCTCAGAGCCTTCTTTGGATGAGCATCCTGTTCAAGATGAAAACTCTTCATTAGGTAAAAAATTGATGAATCCAAAAATGCTCTAGTGAAGTTAAGTTTTGATCTCTGGATGCTATGTGAATCTGTAGATGGCAAAGGCAGTGATGGTAATTTAGATGCTTCAAAATCTTCTAAAGCTGGAAAAGCACCATCACCAGAGAAGATGAAATATTGGAAGGAACATGGCTTTAGTAGGTAATACAAGTTATAGAAGAAAGTTGTTCTTATATTATAGTACAGATTCCAATTAACATGATGGTGTCTTCTTAATGCAGTTTGATTGTTTGTGCCCCTGGCCACGAAGTCGAGCGTCTTGTCGCTGATCTGCTTCCACTTTTGTCTTATTCAGCTCCATTTGCTATATATCATCAGTATCTTGATGTAAGTAAATATAAATATTTCTTGATCTTGATACAGAAGCATGCCACGTGTGAACTAAATTTCATTTGGTTTATTGCATTTATGCTATAATTTTTGCTGTCTAGAATCTTGATTGAAGTGTCTGGAAAGCAACATAGAGCATCCTTCTCATGCCTGAGATTATTATTAACATGTGTTGTGGAGAAAAGTCATTTTTTGTTTCTTCCTATCTCTCGTTTGCTCTTCTATAAAATATGATTGTCATAGTCCCTTATCTCTTTGTCTATATCTTCATGCAGCCTCTTGCAAAGTGCATGCACAGCTTACAAGTATCAAAGATGGCTATTGGATTGCAGCTTTCTGAACCCTGGCTACGTGAATACCAGGTCAGTGCCTGAACATTGAGGAATTTAAAGAAGAAATAGCTGTCCTTATGAGTTTTAAGGTTCTCTTATCCACATTCTTAAATAATGCATTTGAAGATAATTCTGCACTCTTCCGATAATCGTAATGTATTATGTGTACTGAATTTGCTTATTAAAATGCAGTAGGCTAATTTCGGAAACAAAATTTATGTGCTGCTAGGTCATCTTTTGTAATTTCCCACATGATGGTCCATGTTTAAACAGTTACAACAGATAGGAAAAATGCACAATTGCTAGGTCATCTTTTGTAATTTCCCACATGATGGTCCATGTTTCAACAGTTACAACAGATTGGAAAGATGTGCTATTGCTTTTTATTTCCAGCCTGTTCGTTTCGGCTGAAACGATCGTGGATTATAAGCCAGAAGTACTGCTGGCTGGTTTGGTGTGAGAGAAAAATACTGTTCCAGTTTATAATCCACGATCGTATAAGCCGAAACGAACAGGCTGTTCATGTGCCCTAGCCCCCCTTCAAAGAAGTATTGGCGTAGGAACTTAAAGAACTCTGGTCTTCCTTATGTACAATACAGGTCCTTCCATCGCGCACCCATCCACACATGCAAATGAATGCATTTGGCGGTTATATCTTGAGCGGCATAAGGATACACAGTACAGATTGTATGATAGCAAACAAGTGAGTCATCAATAAGGTATGGTTTCAAGCAAAAAAGGATAGCGTGCCATTTTTTTACCTTAAAAGGTGGGCAAAATTTTGTAGTCTAGCTAGCAGTCTGCTTGCATGTTGAAACCAGTATGCGGTTACCAGACATACGTTGCCATGCTTACAGTTACAGAGAATAACACCTGGGAGTAGGACAAGAGCATTGCTATCAAGATGTGTAATCCTGTGTAACTTGTATTATTGTTTGTTGTAGTTTTAGAGAACTCGTATTAAACTTGTACGGGTCGAGGTATTTTATGCCTCCAGCTGTAGGATTTGCTGGAGATATCCTTGTGTACTGTTTATATGCTTGTGGTGAACAGACAGATGTATGAGTTTTTAAGAGACGTGAAAAGGTATTAACTCCCTCGTCATACTTTCTCTGTCCCAAATTAAATCAACTAAATTTGTTAAAAAAATAAAATATTTATGACACTAAATTAGTATCACTCAATGCATCATGAAATATATGTCATAATATATATTTATTTACTGTCACAGATGTTATCCTTCCCTATAAAGTCGGTTAAGCTTAAGATGGTTTGACTTGTGATTGTTGTAACTTAAGAGGGTTTGATTTATGATTGTTGTAGAACTTGATTTGTTTTGGAACGGAGGGAGTAATACTCATAAAAAAAATGTGTCATCTTTTGTTCACTGAGAATTATGGAAGCACTGAAATGCATTTGTGTTCAAGGAACCAAGTCCTAGTATGCCAATGGTTTTACAAGCGGTGGCAAATGATATCTGTTTCTGGTGTTTTCTGTCGCTCCTGGTTGAGGCTCTAGTGTGTTGGCTTGTCCTTGTTCTTTGTTTTTCTCATAAGAGTCTTTACTATGAAATGTAGGATTATCAAAACAAAGGAATAGAATAATTGCATGGAGCTTTACACAGTTTTACATTAATTTAAATTTAAAATACAATAAAGTCTCCATTATAACCTTTGGATGCAACACAAGAAAAGTGTATGAGTTTTCAGAGAGACAGTAAAGTTTTTATGATGTCCAACCTCGTGTTTGTTCTTTAAATTCCTATGGTTTTCTACATCCCATAGGAATCTAAAGGAATTTTGTAGTGTTTAATCTTTTGTTTCAAGTGAAGTGCTTGGGAAGTAGCTATTAACGTGAATAGGGGCTCATGTTGGATTTTCAACTAGTCTACACCAACTTGCTTGGAACTGAAATACTATGTTGTTGTCTTTTGTTTCAAATGGACATAGGGAATTCTCCTATAGGATTAAAATCTTCCAAAATTCTTATGCTTTTCTTTTATTTCAAAATTCTAAAATGGACAGAGAGGGTTTTATTCCAAAATTCTTTGCATCATTCGAGAGAGAGAAAAAACGCGGTCCCATGTACCATGCATTTTTTTTGTGTGTATAGTCATTTCCACGCGTCTTGTTTAATCTGTTCAGTCTCGGGGAATGAATCAGGGTGAGGAAGTATTGATTGAAACACCTCTGTCTAAAAAAGTTGATATTTTAGTTTTATTCAAAGTCAAAGTCAAACATTGTATATACGAACTAGGAGAAAGAATTGAGCTCTGTCATTTGACACTGGGTCATTGCAAGTTATGAGAAGCATTTCCAGAGTTGCAATTCTGACTGTTTCTGCTTCACATGAAAGCGATATAATACAATAATAAACACGTAACAGGAGAACGCAACAAATGAGTAGCATCTTCTGCATTCGGATTCCGAAGTTGCATTGCATACAGACATACAGTACAATACAAGCTGACAATTCGGCACGCAAAGACTGCTGGTCACTCTTTGCACTGGAGACTGGAATTTTCTGAAACCTGCGACGCCGCGATGCCGTCAACCGTCGTAGCTAGGCGCGTTATGGAGGATCGATGGATAATCACGCGTCCTAGGATGAGTGGAGACCAGAGGCCAGTGGTCCACCCGTCCACGACGACGCCGGAATGCATGCGTGCATGTAACACGCCGTCCGAATTCCGATCGACCCCGGACAACTTACACGAGAGCGACAACCGACAACTAACCGGCCGCCGGCCCGGTCTGCTCCTGCGTCTGCGTGCGGCGTGGCGCGGCCACGTCAAAGATGCGGTGCCGACGCGTGTTTCCGTCTCTGTCTCCGTCTCCCTGGACGTTCTCCGTCCGTCCTTCCCCGGTCTCCCCACGCGGCGGCCGGCCGGCCACGGCCAGCCGGAGCAGCTACTAGTAGTAGTACTAGGGGACAATCAACGAAAGCGTCGGTCCACCGTCCACGGCCCGGACTCCTTCACACTTCACACTTGGCAGGGTCAGTGAGGACTCGATCGGCGACTCCAGTCCCTCCAAAGCGCACCATTTCTGCTGCCTGCTCCAACACACCACACGCTGACACGCCTCGTTGTGGTGGCGGTCGTCGTCGTTGGCATGAGGAACACGAGGGAGGTAGGAGACGAGACGACGGACCACGGGGTGTGGGCGTGTGGCAGTCGTAGCCTGAGGCTGGGCCCCCAACAGCCACGACGAGTAAAGGAGAAGGCGGGCAGAGGGGCGGCTGGGGCCTTGTCGCGACGCGCTTGGACTGGCGCGGAGCCTGCCTAGATGCCGCTTCGCGTCCGGGGTCGGTTGGGCCCACCTTCCTCCCTCTCTCCATGGTGGGCCGTGGGCTGATTGTTGGGCTCGCGTCGCATACCAACGACAACGAGGACGACGGAGGCTCCCATCCATCCAGCCGCCCAAGGCAGTCAGTGAAGGCTGCTGCTGTCCATGCTCGCCGTCCTCGTCCGCACCGCAGTCGCGTGCATGAGGACGGCGCTACAGTAGCAGCAGTATAGCACGGGACCACCAGCCCACAGAGCAATAACTAGTGCAACACCTACTACAGTGCGACTACAGGACGGTGTATAGATGTGCCTCGGATGGAGTGGGGTCCAGCATCTTAGTGGGTCCACGTGTCAGTGCATTATCGTCTGCTCGACTACGGTACTGCCCCTCTCGATTCAGTGCAACAGACACAAGGCAGGCACAGCCACAGGCAGAGGTAGCCGCTGTGTGCAGCAAGGCCATGATGACGCTTCCCGTCGACAGCGCGAGCCGTACCAGAATCGCACCGGATCGCCCCTCGTCGTCACCCGCCACGTCCGGATCAGTCAAAACTGTTAGGGTGACGAGGATCAACAATTGTTTCTCCTATAGGAGTATAGCATAGCATACACATTAATAGTATATGAGTATATAAATAAGGCTATGTTTAGTTTCTCCCCCACAAGTTTACACCTTATCTAATTAAATGTTTGACACACATACATAGAGTATTAAATATAGATAAAAAATAACTAATTACATATATTACGACTACTTTACGAGACGATCTTTTAAGACTAATTAGTTCATAATTTGACAATAAAGTACTACAGTAATACATGTGCTAATGACATATTAATTAGGCTTGATAAATTTATCTCACGATTTATTAACTGATTCTATAATTTATTTTTTTATTAGTTTTCAAATACTCCATACAATATCTCATATCACATCAACGTGACACTCTAAAACTTTACTACCAGTAACTAAACAAGGTCTGAAAAGGAGATAAGTTCATCGTTTTGAGACAGGCCCAGCACCCCAGTTCCGGTCAAACCTTTGTCCTGGGTGCGGCGCACTGTACCCTCTGCTCGTCAGACCATGGATCCACATCCACTGTTGCTACTGCGACAGCCACGAGGCCACAACAGTGAGTGACGCCCTTAGGATTGGCAGTTGGCACGTTCCACGGCTGCTGCTGACCTGCTGTCGTCGCCCCGACCAGACCGACCGGCGACCACCCATGAATTTTTATTTTTTAGTATTTTTTTTTTAAAAAAAATCACAAATATGTCCCTAGACTAATGATTTTAAAATCTAGACCCTTACCTCGGCGCCATCATTGCTGGCGTCGAGCTTACACTTCTCGGCACCATCGTTGCTGGCGCCGAGGTCGGGGCCACGTTAGCGGCGTGGACGCTGACATGTCAGCCAGCTCGGCGCCGTGAATCTTGGCGCCGTGGATCTTAGCGCCGAGCTCGGCGCCAAGACCCCTCTTACGTATGGGTCCTCCCTTCCTTTCTCTCTCTCTCTTCTCTCTCTCTGAACGAGCCGTCACGCCACGCCTCGCCCTCGCGCCCTTGCCTTGCCTCGGCGGCGTCCTCGGCCACCAAGGCTGCCTCGGCTGATCGCCTCCTCGACCCTGCCTCCCGGACCACCCGCCTCGCCACGCCTGTAAAAAATTGTGAATATGCAATGTAGGTACTTAGTTAGCTTTGATTGTAATGTAGTAGTTCGATTATTTGTTATTTACTAGTTAATGTGATGACTCAAGTAGTTAATTTAGTTAGTGATCTAGTGAGATAGATATGTAGATACATAGAAACATAGATACATAGGTACATAGATATAGTTAGATATGTAGATAGATAGAAACATATATACATAGGTACATAGACATAGCTATTTTGTGAGTATCACTGTATATATATTCGTAGTTATTATCTTATTTACTTAGTTTGTAGTTAGAAAGTACTTGTTAGGTACTATCTATCGTCTAATTTGGACTAAAGGACATGTGTTTCGTTATGTGTTTAAACTAGATGGACAACCTAGTAACCATATATCATGGAGGCACCGTTGAATGCGATCGCTATGGATATGTTGAGTTTGTTGACATGCAAAGCGTGCCTGTGTTATTCAATGATAGGTCTTCATTTAGTGAGATGGTTGCAAAGGCTCGGGAGAAGCTACATTGCCTTAGAGATGATGATGATGGCATTACAGTAGAGGGTGTACTACACCTAGGTTCTCCCAACATCCTCAGGCGAATGATCTTAATTGGGTGTGTGGATCAGTGGGAGAACTATGTGAGATCGGTTATGAAGAGCCAGCTGCAATATTTGGACGTGGTTGTACGTCGGGTGTTAGTTGATCCCATCCCTCATGGGTTTTCCCCATCAATGGGTCAGCAGGCACACTTCGACCCTCCCATCCCAAAATCTGATATGGATGCGGAGGTTGCACCTACGGTTCTCGATGCTCAATCTGCCCCCAATCAGGTAGTTCGAGATGCTTGTCAGACTCATGTTGTTGTGACAGATCCTCCTCATGAGATCCCTTTGACACAGAATCATCCAAGTAAGTGTCTTATCCGCATGGTTATTGGAAGCTTACCCCCTTCCTTACATCCATTTCTTTCATTCTTTCCTCATTTCTCTACTTATGTTGCAGGAGACATTTCTAACAATATGGATGTGCCCCCTGTTGTTGCGCAAGTGCACTGTGGAGATGGATTCTATGGCTCCAATAGTGTTGAAATTATGAATGATTCGGAGCCATATGAGATGGCAT